TTCCATTAATTTTCTCGTCAGAGAAACAAGAAATTTCTCTGTTACAGTATTTTTATACAAATCTGACCCATATTAACAAAGACAAAGAATTTAAATTTTCTTTGTTATGTTCTAGTATTTTTTTTTTCTTAAAATGAGGATATTTTATCGTTTCAGGTAATTTTGCCAGAGCTGAGAGTAGTACATGGGAAATTCTCTTTAGTCCAGCTCTAATATTACAGTTTGGTGCACGAGGCTGCCCATCAGAACAGTGATACTCTCCCAACAGATTTCATGCAACCTGTCTCCACTAACTTTTGCCATAAAGATTCCTCTGAATTGTGTCTTCTTGGAAGAAGTAAATATCTGTTCAACTACACAAAGAAACAGAGAAACCACTCCCATTGCAATCAATCTTCAAGAGAGGGAGCAGGCAGGCCGTGTTCTTTCTGCTGAGTTTTATAGACTCTGACAAACTGTGAAATAAGCATAAACAGAAGACAAAACAGTGCCCCAAATAAGCAGTAGATGACCCTGTGACCAGACTGCATTGCAGAACAAAGACTGACGTTTAAAGGGGAGTCATGCAGGTAACTTGGGAACACAAGCCTGACAACCTGGTCAGCTTCCACTTATTCTAGCTTCCACTTACTCTAGCTCCTTTGAACTCTCAACACTAAAAATATTATTATTACCTCTGCAGGCGCATAGGTGCCAAATCCCAGGACGGGCATGAAGTGGCCATCATTCAGCTTCACACACTGATGTTTCGAATCCATTTCTGTCACTGGCCTGGTTGTCAAATGTTTCTTTCTTCCTACCTCACAGGCTATAAGAACAATTAGCTGGCAACGCCCCTGGACATACTGACTGTGAGTTAACCAACGGCATGTGAGAGGAGGGACAGAGGCAGTCTTACACAGGCAGTGATAAAAATGGAAGCCAGTTCACCTGTTTCTTATCTAAGAAAATTCATAAGTAAATTATCAGGAGGGCATGATACACTCATTAATTTCTCTCACAAGTATTTTTGCTGTTCCAAATCTCTCTCTATATATGATATAAATTATTCAAAGAGATTTGTAGAACAAATGGTGACTTTACATAAGACTACAGAAAAGGAGCTACTAAGTTCTTTTTGGTTTGTGCCATGATGATGTTCCTTCTGTATCTTACAGCATTTGAAATGACTAGTTTTCATTTTTCTCTCTCACACACACACAATTTGAAGGAATGACTAATGAGCATTTCTTTAAAATATTGCCCTCAATTAAAAATTAAAGTTACAATTTTAAAATGTGTTACTTTTTTCATCAGCAAATTTATTGTTTCTTTCTTATTAGCCTTATGAGAGAAATATTCCTTCCTGATCAAAGTGCAGTCCTGATAAAGTTGTAATCCTGATGTGGGTGTAAATAAAAAATAAAATTTGATGTGGTTTTATTGGAGGATTTCTTATTAACAGCGTTTGGACTTTGGATATACTTTGTAATATGCAAACTGTGCCTATTTTATTTGTCTTATCCAGCCAGTTTTATGAGTTACTATCAAAAAGTAACAAGCCAAACACCTGATAACTATTAGATATACTTTCTAATATTGTTAAACATTATTCCTAAAGAAAAACTGGTAACTAATGACATATAAACTGGTGAATAATCCTCACATAGGATAATTTTTACTTCATTCTCCCTTTGGAGGGCAGGTTAGAACATGAATGTAGTTTGCATGATCCATGATTCACATCTTGGAGTAGTCACAACTTGCAGTGCTGTGATTGCTTCTATTTGTTTCTTTATAAAACAAACAGAAATTGAAACATAAGTAAATTGTTATACATTGACATAAATGTAATATTATAAAGATATTGAAATTTTTCAACAAGATGGTGGATTATGAGACTCCCATATGACTCATAGAAACATCAGAAAGTATCTAAAATTGACTGAAATAAACTTATTTATTTATGGAGTAGCTCAGTAGCTCAGTAGAGATTCAGGGTGACTATACACATACAGATGTTACAGGCAAAAGACTAGGGGAAGAGACATGCAATAGTCCATCCAAGCCATTGAGGAAAAACTGGGATGCAAAATTTTTTAATAGTAAACGATTCAAAAGCCATTGGTTATTTGGGGAAAAATAAAATGGCAAAAACAATCCATGTAGGTGCGTGTTCAGAAACAAACTAAGAAGGCCTTGAGGTTTTATGTAGGGCTGAGGCCTTGACTGAGAACCTGACACACATATGAGTTGATGACTGTCATGACAGAACAAATCTATATACAGTAAAAAAGATGTTCTATTTTTTCAAATGCCCAGTTAAATAAAATAACAAGGCATACAGGCTGGGCGCGGTGGCTCATGACTGTAATCCCAGCACTTTGGGAGGACAAGGAGGGCAGATCACGAGGTCAGGAGAAGGAGACCATCCTAGCTAACATGGTGGAACGCCATCTCTACTAAAATCAAAAAAAAAAAAAAAAAAAATAGCTGGACGTGGTAGTGAGCACCTGTAGTCCCAGCTACTCCGGATTCCCCTGCTAAAGCAGGGGAAATCACTTGAAACTGGGAGGCAGAGGTTGCAGTGAGCCAAGATGTCACCACTGTACTCCAGCCTGGTGACAGAGCAAGACTCCAGCTCAAAAAAATAAAATAAGATAACAAGGCATAAAAGACACAAGAAATCACAGTCCATTATGAGAAAGAAAATAAATCAGTAGAAATCATTCCTGAAGAATCACAGGCATTAAAATTAGTAGAGAAGCATTTAAACAGCTCTCTTAAATATGCTAAAATTGCTAATGAAAACTATGGATTAAGAACTACAGAAAATCTGAAAAAAATGAGAAAATCAAAATATAGTCATAACACAGAAACTATAAAAAAGAAAAGGAAACAAATTGGAGCTAAAAAAAATATACCTGAATGAAAAACTCACCAGTGGGTGTTTCAGTAGCAAAATTTGAGAGAGATGAAGATATAATCAATGCACACAGGGATACCGCACTTGAAATTCCTGTGTCTAAGGACAGGAAACAAGAATAAAGAAATGTGGACAGGTCCTATGGGACTTATGGGACACCTTCAAGCCAACCAGTATGATAGTATTGGATCCCAGAAGGAGAAGCACACAAACCCATTATGGTAGAGAGATATTTGGAGAATAAAATCATCAAAACTTTTTCAAATTGGTTAAAGACAAGAATCTACAAATTCAGGCAACTTAAAGAACTGCATATAGCATAAACTCAAAGAGACTCAGACCTATATGTGTTATCATCCAACTCTAAAAGCCAGACAAAGAGATAATCTTTACATAGCAAGAGAGTTTGGGAAGCTGAGGTGGGCGGATCACCTGAGGTCAGGAGTTTGAGACCAGCCTGGATAATATGGTGAAACCCTATTTCTACTAAAAATACAAAAAATTAGCTGGGCATGGGGGCACACATCTGTAATTCCAGCTACTCGGGAGGCTAAGCCAGGAAAATGGCTTAAACCCGGGAGGCGGAGGTTGCAGTAAGTCGAGATTGCACCATCGCACTCCAGCTTGCACAACAAAAGCAAAACTCCATCTAAAACAACAACAACAATGAAAATAAAAAGCAGGAAGAGAAACATGATGCATGGGGTGCAAGGGATCCTGGACAAGATGATCCACAGATTTCTTATGAGAGTCTTTGGAAGATATAGTAGGTGATATATTTAATGTGATCAATAAAGAAATAATTTCACCCAATAATTCCATGCTTGGCAAAAAAAAATTATTCCAACTTTAAAAAATTTTTTTTTTTTGAGATGGAGTTTTGCTCTGTCACCAGGTTGGAGTGCAGTGGTGCGATCTCAGCTCACTGCAATCTCTGCCTCCCGGATTCAAGCAATTACCCTGCCTGAGCCTCCTGAGTAGCTGGGACTATAGGCAGGCACAACCACACCCAGCTAATCTTGGTATTTTTAGTAGAGACGGGGTTTCACCACAGTGGCCAGGATGGTTCAATCTCTTGACCTCATGATTCCCCACATTGGCCTCCCAATGTGCTGGAATTACAGGCGCTAGCCACCACACCCAGCCAAATTATTTCTTAAAAATTAGAAAGTTATTAAGACTATGTGATGTAAAAGCTGAAGGAGTTCATTCCCATTAGAACTGCTCTACAAGAAATGCTAAAGAGAGTAATTCGCTTTGAAATGAAAGAATTTTAGACAGCAACATGAAGTCATATAGAGGTATAAAGAACTCTCGTAAAGGTAGGTGTAAGAAAAATGTGGAAACACATATTTGTGAAAGTTTGCTTTTGACTGTCATTTTCTTCAAAATTTTCATTACAAATGTGTACGAATAAGAATACATTTCTGTTAACATGTACACCACATATAAAGTTGTAATTAGTGACATCAATAATGTGAAGTGGAAACGTAGCTGTGGAAAACTAGAGTTTTTGTAAGGAATTGAAGTTCACATTGATTTCAATGTGGATGGTATAACTATAGGATGCAGTATGTCATTTCAATGGTAACTACAAAGAAAATAATTACAGATTATGACCAAGACAAATTAAAAAGGGAATACAAATTTTAGCAAAAAATCATAGAAACCCCAAAATATTGTTAGTTGAGTAGATAAAGAACAAAAAGCTGAAGACATAAACTTCTTTCTTACATACAAAATCCAATCAGTTTATCTCAAGAATCTCCAAAGCCTTATCAGGTTTAGAAGCAACTTAAA